TCCGGGAATTCCCGGGAATTCCCGTTTCTCACCCTGGCAGCCGGTCTGGTGCGTGGCGTTGAGCAGGCGCACGCAGGGCGCGGCGCGCTCCAGGGGGATGTAAATCTTCTTCTCCACTGAGCTGCTCCGGCACGGGCCTGCAGGGAATGCGGGAGAAATCCCGGGAATGGTGGGAAAATCCCGGGAATGGGGGCAGGAAAATCCCAGGAATGGTGGTGGGAAAATCCCAGGAATGGTGGTGGGAAAATCCCGGGAATGGTGGTGGGAAAATCCCAGGAATGGCAGCAGGAAAAATCCTGGGAATGGTGGCGGAAAAAATCCCGGGAATGGCGGTGGGGAAAAATCCTGGGAATGGTGGCGGGAAAAATCCCGGGAATGGCGGCAGGAAAAATCCTGGGAATGGGGAAAAATCTTGGGAATGGGGGCAGGAAAATCCCAGGAATGGCGGTGGGGAAAAATCCTGGGAATGGGGAAAAATCCTGGGAATGGGGGCAGGAAAATCCCGGGAATGGCAGCGGGAAAAATCCTGGGAATGGGGGCAGGAAAATCCCGGGAATGGTGGTGGGAAAATCCCGGGAATGGTGGTGGGAAAATCCCGGGAATGGCAGCGGGAAAAATCCTGGGAATGGGGGCAGGAAAATCCCGGGAATGGCAGCAGGAAAAATCCCGGGAATGGCAGAAAAATCCTGGGAATGGCGGCGGGAAAATCCCGGGAATGGTGGTGGGGAAATCCCAGGAATGGCAGCGGGAAAAATCCTGGGAATGGTGGCGGAAAAAATCCCGGGAATGGCGGTGGGGAAAAATCCTGGGAATGGTGACAGGAAAATCCTGGGAATGGTGGCGGGAAAAATCCCGGGAATGGCAGAAAAATCCCGGGAATGGCGGTGGGAAAATCCCGGGAATGGCGGCAGGAAAAATCCTGGGAATGGGGAAAAATCCTGGGAATGGGGGCAGGAAAATCCCAGGAATGGCGGTGGGGAAAAATCCTGGGAATGGGGAAAAATCCTGGGAATGGGGGCAGGAAAATCCTGGGAATTGGGGAAAAAATCCTGGGAATGGTGGCGGGAAAATCCCATCCCGGGAACCCCTCAGGAACATCCCAGGAATGGCTGAGGGACCCCAAAAAGGGTCAAAGGGGACCCCAAAGGGTCAAAGGGGACCCCAAAGGGGCAATGGGGATCCCAAAGGGGCAATGGGGACCCCAAAAGTGTCACAGAGAGCCCCAAAAAGGGTCAAAGGGGACCCTATAAAGGCAAAAGGGACCCTCAAGGGTCACAGGGGACCCCAAAAGGGCAATGGGGACCCTAAAGGGATCCCCAAGGGTCACAGAGACCCCAAAAAGGGTCAGAGGGGACCCTAAAAAAGGCAAAGGGGACCCCAAAGTATCACGAGGGACCCCAAAAGGGCAATGGGGATCCCAAAAGTGTCACAGAGGACCCCAAAAAGGGTCAGAGGGGACCCTAAAGGGCAATGGGGACCCCAGAGGGCCACAGAAGACCCCAAAAAGGGTCGCAGGGGACCCCAAAAAGGCAAAAGGGACCCCAAAAGGGATCCCAGAGGACCCCAAAGGGGCAATGGGGACCCCAAAAGAGATCCCAGAGGACCCCAAAGTGCCACAGGGGACCCCAAAAAGATCCCAGAGGACCCCAAAGTGTCCCGGGTGACCCCAAAAAGATCCCAGAGGACCCCAAAGTGTCCCGGGTGACCCCAAAAAGATCCCAGAGGACCCCAAAAAGGCCAAAGGGACCCCAAAAAGGCTCCGGG